CTCCGGCCATCAGGGCCCCGCGCAGCGCAGGCCCCGCGCACTCCCACAGGACTCGGTGACATGGGCAGGAGCACGGCTGCCTCCCAAATAGTCTCAACCTGAGGGGCACCTGTGGAAGTTTCTTGCCTGAGTGAGCTCGTCGGTGACCGCTGCCCTTTGCCACGCGTGGCTTTGCGCGGGTGCAAGCTGTTGGTTGCCTTTGGACCTGTAGCCGGGTCTGCAGAGGGGCGCGGGGACAGAGCGAGAGCTGTACAGGTTATATATCACACGGATGGACATCTGGCACAGATCACTGCCTAAGACAGCAAAAGCACATTTTAAACTCAAACTACTGCATTCATTCCAGCCTGCCACAGCAAAGAGATTCCCAAAAGCCTGCTCAGGAAAAGCTACCTCACAGTGGAAAAAGAGGAAGTATCTATGTGTTGCTATTTGGGTCTCTGGAGTCCATGACCCAGCGTTGAAGTATGATCGATGCCTGTGTGATGCCCATTGAGAAGGTGCAGGTATCTCTTCATTGCTAAGAGATGAACATGGTAAATTTGACATTTGCTGCATGTATGTTTATGCCCTGAACTGTCAAAAGATGTTTCTTGAAATCTGAGGGTTTCCTTGGAGGGGAAGGGAGGGGAAAATATGACTGGAGGGGTCACAGAGGTAGATGCAGGGCAAGGTGAAGACTGGACTGGGAGGAGGAAAAATAATGGCTGTCAGAAGTCACAGGCAGACTTTGTAGTAGACAAGATCACAGTTCAGTGTGAATCAGGATAAAGTAAATGGAGAATGACGCCCCTCGTCACAGCTCCAGGGCCATAGTAGATGTGGGAGTAGAGCATTTACAGATCTTAAAGGAAGTCTAGTCTTTGTCCGCATCCATTCAAAAATATCAGAAGGGATATACATAATGCTTCCTTGCCCTCCTAAGTGCATACACATGAAGAGTTCAGAGACCTGCTTGCCTAAATCTGCTCTGAGACTCACCCTGGGGTCTCTGGTTAGTGATAAAGCAGCCAGTAGGCGCCAGGTATGGAGTAAGATGATGAAATTTCATTATCTCTTTTTCATTACACAGCCCTACTGCAGTTCTGCTTTTAGAACTTCTTAGGGGTTTTATGCAGTGACCTAAGTATACATTAGCATATCCTAAACATCATTCCAAAATTCATCCATTACCTGTAACAAATTAAGAAAAATAGTATTTTTGTTGCTACAGGGTATTTTAAAAGTCCCCCTTTAAACAGTTAGAATACCACCGAGTATTATATTCTGAAAAGGTTATCGGTCTTTGTGTTAAAGGAAATTAATCTTTCACATAACTTAGAAAAGATGTGTAATATAAACTCCAGATTTGCACTGGAAATATTCACAGCTCCTGCTTCTGATGAAGAGTGGGTTTTCTTCTATCATCTGCAAAACTGCTAGTTGCAAGTCTTACGTGCCTCCCTAGGTCAAATTTCTCTCTTCCTTTCATACACAGGGTAGGTCAATGATCTAATGGTGACTGCGCTCCAAATATTAGTATTTTTTTGGAAAATACAGTAATAACACTTGGAAATAACACTCAAACATCATTAATTTTAAGATATTTTTAAGCTGGCACACCTTTTTTCTGTACAGATATACAATGAAGAAGGTGATTTTATGAATTCCAAATTTCCTAGCTCTAAATGGATATGCATGAAAAACTAGTTATGTTTTCATTTATGACATGAGAAGAACTAATGTAAACCTACATGTAATGACCCCAGTTCTCTACACCAGTAAACTAATAGCTTAAATACATCTTTTCAGCTCAATGATTTAAGTGTGATACTTGAAGAATGACTCTTGTCCTTATTTAAATCAGTGGTCATATTCCCACTGCTTCCTGGGATGAAGATTTTCAAGATCAGTCTTACTAAGTCTGTATGTATAGTAAGGTGACTCTTAATCACTTGAAAACTTTATAAGGAATTCTATAAACAAGTTGCCATATACCTCAGGAGAAAACCCCAAATCACAGCTACTCTTTAAGTCTGTGAACAAAGATGACTAACCAAATGAATTTAGAAACAGTGCCAGGTGACAAGGTTGCCCTGTGAGTGTGGTTCTCAGTGTCAAGGCTATTGTTATCCATTGACCAGAATCATGCTTTTATTCTCCTGATATACCCACAGTACTATTCAAAGTTGAGGAAGTTCTTTTGTTGTTTTGGGGTTTTTTTTGTTTTTTGTTTTCCCTGAAAAAGGATAAAGGAGACAACAGTGAGTTTACCCATCCAACTCTGAGGCTGGATGCTGCCAGGACAAGGCGTGGTGCTTCAGAAAGTTGAGCACCATGAATGCTGAGAGCTACTCACTCCCTCTGGAAACCAAATCTAACATCATCTCTGGTTTGGCACTGTAAGACAAAATGCCCAAATCAAAGGGTGTTATTCTCTATTTCAGTGACTTCTTGAGTGCTTGGAAGCAAGTATGAAACAAATGTTGCTTCTATCCTCATCTCCAGAGCACTAGAAATGTAAACGTTTTAAACATAAAACATGGTTGTTTTTTCCCCTCTATAAAATCCATCCAAGTTATCATGTTATTTATTTTAAGTGAGTTATGATTATGTAGAATGTCGACATTAGATCTGACACACTAACGGTTATTAAGTCACTGTATTATTTTAGTGTTTTCTAAAATTATAGTCATGGTTAACATTAGAGCTGTTGTATGAAGTACATACAAGTGATATTCAGCTTTATTTAAAAAATACAGAACAAATGCACAATTGTTCTCCCATGGAGCACATTTTACAGTAAATGAAAAGCAATGTAATTTCCATCAGAATTTATAACTAAGGTAATTAAAAATATAGTTGATTACAGTTCTATTGTAAAAGTGAAAAAACAAGCACCATATTCTTAAATATAAGCATTTTTACATTCATAAAAATTCAAGACTTTTCATTTTGGTAGAGCACTTCAAAGAAATACAAATTTGTTTAAGTTGCATCAGAATCATTCTATCTACATTTTAAATGCTCAGCAGCATATAATACAGAAATCACTACAATGTACATATGAACAAAAGGAAAAGTTAAAATGGATATGAACACTACTGTTTTTTAAAATGTTGCACACATAACTGTTTTTAAAGATATGTAACACATTTCATGCTTTACTTTCTGGTAGTACAAAAGGAAAAAACCTTCCTAATCATTCAAATCCTTTTATACTTTGTCCTGACTCCAACTAAACTTGGTAAAGCTGGAGTTTACCTGGCACAAGGCTCAATGAAAACATACAAAGACAACAGAATTTGTCCAACTGACAATAAAAAGAATGATATATGTAATACATAGTTCTTTGCAATGCATGTCTGTGCACAGAAATCCTTCAACTTAGCTAATGTTAAGCTGTTTGATTTCTAAAATCGAATGGAAAACAGATCAGGAGATGGTAAAGGCATTACATTTAGCTTTGGAAAGGTCCAACTATTAAAAATGCAGAGGTTCTCAAAACATACACCAGAAAGAAGTACTAAAAGTACAGGAAATTAAAAACAGTTACGAAGATCCTACACTATATGAAATACCACCTGCTCTTTTTGTAAAATATTTATTTGCCTAACACTGAGTAATCTCAATGCTTTCAATGAACATACTGCCATTTATACAAACTTTCTGGCAAGTTTAGAAAGAACTAGGGCCTAAGAGCATTAAAAGGTGGTTTTATTTTATTTTTTATGTAATCAAGTAACACATGCCAGCCATCATGTGAATTAAATTCCTACTGTACAAAATGCACCTCCATGTCAAAGGCTTCACACCAGATCAGAACGATTGCACAGTCCCACACAGATTTCCTGCACTGTCACTGATCTCACCCAGGTTGTTCAGGATGCTTATGTCACATCTGATACGGGCACTTATTAAAACCTCCATGAAAACAGTATGCCTTTTATTTCTTAAAAGTGTATGTATCTTTGCATAAACTTTAGGGGAAAGGTGTCTAGACTGGTATATTTATTATCTAATTAAATACAGACTATATAATTAAGCTTTACCGAGTTTTGCTTCTAAATTCATTGTATCATTTGAAGTTTCTGGATGGCATGGTTCAATTGGTAAGTACATAAGTAACCCTCCATCACTACTGTTGACACCTATTACTGATAATTCCCTAACAGCAGGTAATACAAACAGCTTTACCACATGGTGACATAAATATAGCAGATTTCAGGAATCTAGCCAGCATTTACTGTGCAGGAAAAAGCATGCTATTATGAACAGAATAGTTTTATCCAGGATAACAGATAAGGAAATATAAGACCCCCATAAAATTTCCTACTGCAGAATTAGAACTGGAATACTACAAGAAGATCACTTCAGTTAACATGAATGATACAGAAATGTTTTATAACTCTTATCCCTCAGAACAAAAAGATTTGTTTGTTCTCCCTTAAATATGCTTTGGCTTAGTTTCTTAAATCCAACTAGGTAAGAATAATTCCTCTATCTAAAGGCATATCCAAAATGTACCAATGCAAATAAAGTTTTTGGAGGATTTTTTCTACAAAGGAGGAAAAAAACATTAACATATTTTGTATTAACACATACCGTTATTATTTGCACAGAACAATTTACAGTATCAACATCTATGTTAAAAAATAACAACAAGGATTTCATTCCACTGCACTTGTGCTTTCAGCTGCTCTTGGCAAATACAGATATACAGTGAACACAAGAACAAAATCAGGATTTGTTTCATAAGGGTAAGGACTAGCATGGCATGTCCTTTGCTCCTGCAAAGTCCCACTAAATCTTCTGGAATTTCAAGGCTGCGTATACAAATGTATACCAAAATTACCTTAAATATCTTACTTCTGGCTTGTGTTCTTACTCAGCCACTGACTTTAACTATACACAAATATAAATAAGCTTTGCACAGCTGAAGCAACTGAGAATACCCAATGACTTTCTTTAATTTCATTTCATATCTCATTAGCTAAGTGGATAGTTCCTGTGCTGCAGCTGCTCCCATCTTCCTTAGCAACATTTGTACAGGCACATTCTCTTATTTTTATATAATTAATTTTTCTAAAAAAGGGGGAGAAATATTCATATAAATGAAAGGGGAAACTGTCAATACACAAAGTGCTGACACATCCATTAGGTAAATAAGCTAGAAAAAATATTTTCTTTAATTAGCTCCAGAAGCCTTAGCTAGCACTTGCTTTAGTCAGAAGTTTATTATATTGACAGTATCTCTTCAAAGGAAAATTCCAGTGCAATATAGAAACTATTTTAACCAGTACATCAAAATCACTATGGGCTAATGTCAGACAGATGCAAACATATAGACAGGCGTGCACACATACATTCTATATGATGGCCTTGGGAGGGAATGGGGTCTTCCTTGCACATCACAGAACAGCAGCTGTTTGCATCTTGGGAGCCTGGCTTGCCTGCTCTGTGGCATCAGCAACCATAGGAAAAAGTAAGTCTCTGCTTCCTACACACTGAGATATGTAGGGAATTTTAAAAAGAGCTGTAGGCTTCTAAAGATGTCATGGAAAAGCTTTACCTCACCACTGCTGACTTGCTCCCACAGCACTGGCATTTTTTGCTGCTGAGGATTTAAGAGTACTGGGCAAAACAGGTTAAGAATGTCCTCTGACAGTATAACCATCAAAGATGCCATGCTCTTGACAGATTTGTAGCTGATGAGGAAAAGCATCAGCTTCTCAGTTTCAAATACTTGTGGGATTAAAACCAACTGAACATAGATTCATTTACTCAATTTTTTCATTACTTATAAATAAAACTTTTTTTTTTTTGACATATTTAAGAATTACTACATTGGATTCCTTTCAAGAGTCTGGAGTCTTAGACTTATAATATTTCAAACAAGAACATAAAGTTCTTCTTGTAATTTTTAACAATTAAAACAGCAGATCCAACTGACATAGACAGCTCTTTTATTTACTGAATAGAGGTACTGAAAATTATCAATAGCTCTAAGAACTGCCCTGAGCATTCCTATCCATTCCTATCAACCAAATATTTACTTAGCGTATCATCTACTTGTATTAGTCTAATATGAGATTTGAGTCTTTCTTTAATGGCGTTTGGGAAACGATGGATTGTGGAAAGAAATGGCTATAATTTATGATCAATTAGAATATATTAAAAAACAGTATCCCATTACCACCTACCCTATAGCTTCTCCTCGTCCTCATGTCCCATCCATTTTGAAGGATTTCCAGTCGCTAGGACAATGGTTTTTAGGACAACAGCAGTTGCAGCTGTATATGTTGGAATCTCAGCTAAGAGGTAGGTGTTTTACCTATTGCATGCCTCTTTCATTTTCAGATTGCTACTTCTAATCCTGAGTAGTCAGTAGAGGCCACTGGTGCCACCGCGCACACCAATCTACTCGCTGCTCCCCACACTGCAGGACCCTCTCCTCCAAGGTGAGAAGAAAAGTTGAGAACCTCAGACCAGTCCCATGGTGGGACACCAGCCCATTGCAAGGTTCCCTATTAAGAAGCACTTCTCCTTTTGCCTTTCAACATTTAGGCATGCTACACCCTTACAACAACAGAAGTCATTTTAAGAATAAAAAGTGTGAATCTATTGCTATGAAAAAGAACAGGAGACAGAAGCAGCTTAACTAGTTTCCTTTTTCTTTTTTTTTTTTTTTTTTATAAAAAGTAAGGTGCTTTTCACTGTCAACCAGCACAGCTCTCACAGGAGCTAAAGTTTTTATACCTAAGAACAGTGATTAATACCAATGATTAGTACTGGCAACAGATTGCAACTCTCCATGACAAAATCCAAGACAGTTCTTACTTCAGGGAAGTTATTTTTATAAACACATTCTTGCAAAATAACTTCATATTGTGGAATCAGTCCTTCATGGGACTTGAGCCTACTACTTGATGAGAGAAAGTGTTAAAGTATCTGGGTGCCTATGACAGGTAGCATGATGAAAGAACAGTTTCTATTTTCACCAGCTTTAAAATAATTGTTCACCCAGCACTGGTGCAACAATTTGGTTCTTTACATAAATAAGCATTTGGACATCCTACCCACGTGAAGGGATTTGTGGATGTAGGCTTGGCTCACAAAAAACTGCTGTGCTAAGGCTTAGTGAAACACTGCAATACTGTTTTGACGAGGATTTTTTCCAAAGCCCAGGCCTGTGCTTTTTTAACCTCCCCTTCCATCTGAAAAGGAGGCTGGGATTTTGTGCATTAATTTTTCTGAGGAGAAGCAATGTGTGACAACTAATCTCAGAAATACCAGCTCTGGCACGTGTTAAAGGAGATGAAAGTATAGGGGAAATAAATGAGTAGTAAGGCGGAAACCTTACTGCTCTAAGTACCAAATTATGTAGTCAGGGATAAAATCCTGTCCCTTATGAAATTAAAGCAAGATACTTGCTAAATCACATATGAATGTCACTGTCAATACTGTGACCAACAGATTATTTTGCAGATGCTTTTGCAGAAAATAACATAGCTGCTCTTGGGAATATACACAGCATCTCTGGAAAGAATTAATATAAACAGAAATCTTGAATACTGTTTAGAGGGACTAAATCCCTTTGAAGTATCTTTACTGTTTGAGTTCTCCATGACTACTGATTAATAAAGGTAAGCAGTTATTTCCTTCTACATAAATATATATTCCTCTACTTTTTGCAAACTATCAGACATGTACAATTACCATTAATTTTGGAAATACTTTGCAGGCCTGTCTGCAATTTATCTCCCATGACAGTTACTTCTGTAGAAGAAGAGAGCTATTAGGTCGTGACTAAAACATGTAGCAGAGATAAGGAGAAGGTACAAAAGGCACTTGTGTTCACAATGCAGTGTCAAATATTCAGAACTTCTTGCAGGCAGTTCTAAAATTCTTCATATTTTGCGATTGTCAGTGATTTTGGATGACAGTTCAAACAATGCATCCAAATTTTTGCCTACCAAAAGGTATTCCTCTTGTTTGTTTTTTAATTTAAATATTAATATCCATGCTGTCAGTTCTGAAATGATGAAGATGGATTAGCAGCTTGTCCAAAATATCAGCCAGGCCTTGTAGTAAACACTTTCAAGAGGCACAATGTCGGCAGAAAGCTTCTGAAAGTCCACGAGTAAAATGTCAATTAAAGGTTTAAAAGACTTGTATGTTTGCACAGATTAACATTCACTTGTCCTCTCATGTGCAAGAAATTGATCATGTTCATTTGCATTTTCAGGTTCATCCACTTCTTCCACAGGGTTCTTTTCTTGCAACCCACTATTTTCTGAACAAGAATCGTCATCTCCATCTCTACGATGACCTTCAAGACTGTGTCTGATGCCATAAGCAAAGTAAATGAGGAAGCCTTCCAATAGGAAAAAAAAAGTTAAAGGGTTTCAGGCAAGTAGTACATTAAAAAGTAGTTCTTACTCTCTGGCTGAACATATTTCCCAAGACAAGTTTCTTCTTCAGGTGTCTGAATCAGAGCTCATGCTTCAGGTCTTCCCTGTTTCTATGGAAATTCCAGTGCACCATTTTTGCATAATTAAATGCTCTAAAAGGTCATGGAAATTACTATCTCTAATTTATGTCTAGATGAAATTAAAAGAATTTTCCATATCTTAAAGAATGACTGATATAGTGGGAAGAAACCTGTTACAAACTGGTTTCTGCACAATTTTAGCTATACTTATTAGGAAAAAAAATTGTGGCTTATTGGAATATAGTATGGCTTGGATTCTTCCTGTTACCTCAGAACTGTACTGACAATTTTGACTGTATATAAATACTGCTTCTGAAGCATGCTCTTGCTTTGATCAGAATTATTAGCTGATTTTAATAAAACAAAGATTTTTATTTTAAAATATTTAAAGGAAGATAATAAAATATTCTAAGATGGAATTCATGAGTCCTAATGTAAGAGGTGACTGAAATGAACAGAAGTACCTACCAAGTGCCATCCAGAAGCTAAATCTGATCCAAGTGTCTCCACTTAATTGTACCATCAAGTAAATATTAACGAGGATACTGAATGATGGCAAAAATGGCAATAGTGGAACCTAAAAGGAAATATTTAATATGTTTGTATTAAATATAATTTCTTGCATGTCACACTTCAGTTATACAACACAAACTAGAGGTGACACATCTAATCACTAAAAAAGGATTGAAACTTCTTTTTTAATTGGAATATAGCAAAATTTTCTTTTTCACTGGGTTTAACCACCAGTTTCTACATTTCTTAAACTTTAAAAATACATTATGTTTAATATATATATTCACTAAAGCTGTGTAGAAAAGCTCTCCAATTTGTGCTGAATATATACTAATGAATTCCTGTATCTACAGCTGAAAAATACATGTTTATATATATCCCTTCTTTCTGAAATGTCCCCCCAACTCCACCAGATTCCTTCACTATACTTCATTATTTCCATTAATTACTCCATTAAATAACGGATCTTAGAACATATGTGAAAGCTCAGAATGAAAGGATTATACTCTGGGAAGTACAAACTGTATTGTGGTCCAAAAGCACTGCACACAATACAGACAAGTGATTGTACACTAATCAGTTTTGGAATCATTATCTAGTTTCTAAGTGCTTAAATAGAGGTCTAAACTTACTTGGATCTCAGCAATGTGCACTTTGAGAATGTGCCTAAAGAAATACCTAGATCAGTGCTGTCAGATCCACTAGAGTTGTAGAAGCAGCTGTTCACACCAATGTCAGTTGAATAGCCATTTACTGCAGCCATGCTCGTATGCATGTCACACATTCAATCTGCGGGCAATAAATCCCTTTCTCTAGTCCTGAGATGATCTGAAATGGACTGCACATGCTGATGATACAGCCATGACCATCCACTACTCCCACCTTCACCAAAAAAACTGCAATAGTAGCAGGGCATAATGAAAGACTGCCTGAAAAAGGACCATCTCTCTCTCTGCCCTTCTCCCACTCGTTAGGATCCAGTCAAACCTCTCGTTAGAGAATAACATAAAGAGTATGTTATTCACCATAAAGGCCACTTTCTGCTGGTTCTGAGGCTGCCTTTGGATGAGGAGAATGGTAACTACGAAGGATGCCACCAACACAGCAAGAAGGCCAATACTCCAGGGCTCCAAGTTAGCAATGAAATGAATCCCGTATGTAGTGAGGACACTCAAGCCACAAACCAAGCAAGCTGTGTGAAAAACAAAATGATGGAAATAGGATAGAGTTCACTTAATCTCTGCATTGAAGAAGTGACTTTTAAGAAGAATGATAGCTGGTCTTCGGTATGAAATGTTATCATGAAAATGTTTGATTAAAGGAAAATACACTACACTGCAGGTTAGATCCATCAAGAAGTATAAAAGCATTCTGCAGAATGACACATTAATTATGACTAAAAGAAGGTACGTTATCACTGGATTTTTAATTTTGCTTTAATATAATGCCATTATTTATGTTAATGCATTTTATGAGTTTGGACAGCTGAATACTTACCTAAGAGACCCACTAAAAAGTTAACAGTAGTTGCAGTCTGCTTGGTAGGTAAACTGGTTGGATTCATCAGGGTCTGAAGACTGAAGTGATTCTCTTGTAACATATTTATCTGTGATTCACTAACTGCAGATTCCCTTTCAGATGCTGCCAAAGCTGCTTTTTCTGGAGAATATTTTGGTTGCTCATAGGTTAAACTCGGTTGGTACCTACGCATAAAACAAACAGGATAATAAAAAAATTAAGCTTACTTTGGGATTTGAAGCAATATGACTCTAGGAATGTATTTATTTACTCAATTCTTTGCAGTAGAGATTTAGAGTTTCCCAACTTATAGCTGAACTGAAGTAATAATATTATTAGTCACTATCATATATAAACAAACTATGGCAACTCACTTTTTTGCTGGGTTTGTTTGGGGATTTTGGGGGCAGTTTTTTAAGCTATGTGAATGCACCAATAGGTCATACAAATGACCAGTCTCATACAAAAAGAAGTAACAGGGTCTGATGGTCAGTGACAGGGAAAGGATAGGGGAGCTTCCTTCTCACCTGCTTCCAGTACTGTAAGAGGCCTATTACTCTAAGAGTTTACTGTACTGTAAGAGGCCATAAACTAAATTTTTACATCTGCTTTGTTAGAATGTAAATGTATTTTTAAAAATACATATGTAAATAAGTCACAATGGGAAAAAATATTGTTCTTTTTTAAAGTGTAAATTATTACAACAATGAATTTGAGCTGAATTTAAGCTGTTACACTTTTCAAAGTTCATTATTTAGCCTTAAGGAATAAAGACTGACTTTTTAAGTTAAAAAAAGCAATACATTGTAAAGTGAGCTGTAGCTCTCAATATATAAATATTATTCCATAGCTTTACAAGCAGAACAGACACCAGAGTTTTACTGACAAGTATTTATAATCTCTCTCATTGAGAGATAATATTTGCACTCTCTTCTAGGGCTACCACCTCTTGAAACACTTTCCTGGTCTTATGTTTCTGACTAATCACAGAACCACAAAATCACAGAATCGTCTAGGTTGGAAAAGACCTTGAAGATCATCTAGTCCAACCATTAACATAACATTAACAGTTTCCAACTACACCACTAGGGTAATACAAAGCAATTATTTGAACTTGTTTGTTTTATGAACTACCTAGAATATCTACACCTTTCACATGTAGTCCCCACCATGTAATAGGCCTGATGTACAGCATAAATTGTCTTCATATCAAAATATCTTTCATTGAATTTTATACACAATCTTGCATCTAGTACCTTTGGGACAAACACTTGGACCAATACATCTTCTGGAAAATAAAAGGTGTCTAGATTCCACATGAAGCTTTGACTTGGCTAACTGCTATATTAATATGATGATGCATCATGGTTATCTTTGATGGGTCACTGCTTCTTAGTAATTATTTATATGCATACAGCTAATTTTAAGCATTTAGCTATCTAGCAAAAAACATATCCTGTAAATGTCACTTCTGTTTATATACTGACCAACACAAAATAAACCACAGTAGAATACAAAGGATGTTTTTGACTTACCTAAGAATGAGGACACAGGTTGCCACAAGTGAATAAGCAAGAAGTGTACCAATAGACATCATGTCCACTAAAGCCTTTAGATCAAACAGAAATGCCATTATAGCTAAAAAAAGAAAATAAAATAAAATGCAAAATTTGTATGAGGCTGTCACAGAATCATAGACTCATTTAGGTTGGATAAGACCTTTAAGATCATTGAGTCCAACCATAAGTGATAAGATTAAGACCTATTAAGAGCTGAGATTTTAAAATCTATCCACAGGGCAAATTTACATTGTTTTACTGACAGCAATATGAATGAAATCATTATAATCCTTAATAACACATTTTTGAAGTCATCGCCAACATTCCCAATCCTAATTCCCTACAGTTGGGAGTCGCACTTGTATAGATATGCGCTAATGAGCCATACAGTCATGCCGCATAATCAAGCGATTTGTATTGGACTTATTTGGACATAGGTATTTGCATGCATGGCTTGTTGAATTTGGGCCATATTAAGAATACATTTGTATAGAATAAGGTTCAGATCCTGCAACAGAATCTCACCAAAGCTGAAAGGATGGATCCCACTGCAAAACTGGGGAAAAATGATCTGACCCATTAAGTCACCGGTATGTTAAATTTCTGCTGAGCTGAGAAAGAGGTCTATGTAAAGAGGACTTTCAGGAGTTGTCTTGAATAAAATAATTTTTTTAATTGATTATCTTAGTAAAAAAAAGTGGCCTTTAGGAAAGGCCAGTAAAATTCCGCAGAATTCATATTCTTAATATTTAGAGGCAGAGGCAGAAATTATTCTGAGAGTACTGATAGCAATCTTTGTGTTTATAAAAGCTAATGACACATTCTTTTGTAGATTCTGGAATGTCTTTTTTGTCTATGCAGTTTGCACACAGACACACATAGCTCAAAGAAATTAGCACAAGCCATCACTAAATGAAAGGCTAGTGCTAACTGATTTGAAATATATACAGTCAAAGAATCTCTTAAAATATTTGTATTTTATGAACATTATTGAGATAAAGAAAGAATCTAAAAATACTTAATCTTTTGAATCATCAATAATCTCAACATCAAAATAAACTATTAAACATAACCCTTATACACTGTCTGTATATGCTCATACAATTTTTTCTATATTCAGAAATACTTAATATATAATATTTACATTATGTGTTTATTAATGTATTTGTAGAGAGGTGTATAACTGCACAAACACACAAACACACATTCCCCTGGTATTTGATCCTGAAGGAGAAAGCAAAATGTGATTTGCTGAAAACAAGATGCTGAGTCTTCTTTTCCAATGAAGGAAGAAATACCATCCTGTTTTCTTTAATGATTGTGGATGTTCCTAAATCCAAGAAGTAATTTCTGAATACCTCATTGCTTTGCATTGTCAAAAGAGCACATGGTAAGCAAAGCTGAGGAAGAACAGAACCTACTATAACCTCATGTACTATAGCTATATTTAATTTTCAGTCCTAGCTTTGAAAAGGTACTTTGTAGCCCAGAATATTCTTTTATATTAGAACCAAAGTGATAAATGCCTGTAAGTTTCTGACTAAGAGAAAAAAAGATACAGTATTGCTTTTCCACCTCTCCTAATTCTATTCCAAGAAATAACAGCAGATCAATTTACGGTGAAACCTTGGACCGACACCAAACCACTTTGCTATGTGCAGAGTTTCACAATCACGATTACCACCTGTGAAAAGGTAAGTCACAGTAATAGCATGTGACAATTGCTTCAGTTGTAGTCTTGGCCTCATAACTTTAATCAAGGGCTCAAACATCTAATCTCCTTAACATTTCTTAAAGCTATGAAACTACCCATGCTATGAATGAACAGAAAAATCAGATAATATGTTATTGCATACATCTGTAACTATTCTGGCAAAACTATTTATGACCACAAGTTACCAAATATGCGTCTTTTTAAAAACAGAAGAAATTACACCTTCTCCAGCAGCAGATGAAGCTGTCTTCAGGTGAGTTGTTGACACACCAAAGTCCCCAAACTGTCTAAAAGCAGTCCAAATGATGGGGGCTGCACAGCTATAGTCAGGGTTGTATAACTATATCATTTTATCAGCTTGGTAATAGGATTTTCTTTCTCCTCATAATTACTGTGATTTCAGATAATGTTAATTTCATCTCACATAACTGCATTTCCAAATTATTATAGGGGAATATGTCAATATTATACATTCAAATAGTATAAAGTCAAAACAATAAAAGAAATTCTAAGCAATTTATTTGTACTCTGAACAAAGAAAAGGGAACTGATAATAATGATTCATGTATAAACTATCCAGACAATGACTGTGCTTTCCCACATTACTGCCAAGTACATGGTGTGAGCAGTTCCAGCCTTGTGGTATGTGAAGGTGACCCTGACTATAAATAATATTTTAGTCTCAGTTCTGAACCTCTTATCTGGTATTAATTTTAGCCAGGGTTGCTAACTGTTATAAGGTGCATATTTCATATTTGAATTACTTTTAAGACTTATTTGTTTGTCTTTGAGTTAAATACTTAGAGATCTTCCAGTTTTCCTGAGTAATTAGACATCCCACTGAAATGGCAATGAAATTTGGGCACAGCTACATGTACCTCTGCAACAAGTATGGACAAAAGTGAAACAGTTGTACATTAAGAATTTATTTTTGCGAATCATTAAAAGTTGGCAACAGCTCCCAAAATGCTGTTTTGCTAAAATACATGTGGGCAGGTATGTGCATACATGTATATGCATACACACGTAACTCCCCAACACACACACACACACACACAGTGCCCTCAACCAATTTGGTAAGCCTATACAAAAACAGAATAATTTTCTTTAGAAGAAAATTTTAAAATATTTGTATTTTACACAAAAGTTGATCCTGCTGCAAATGTATAAATTTTTTTCTCATGTCTCATAATAAAAACTGACAGTTATTTCCCCCGGTTATAGATGTGATAAATATACAGGTGCACATCAAGAAACCCTGTAAGCAGAACATCAGTCTAAGGGACCCAGATTAAGTGACAAGCTTATTCACTGTACAAGAGGCCAATATTAAAAAAAAAATAAAATTTAAATCATTTTGATTTCTGTGACATTAAGACATCACCACCACCATGATTGGCATGATCTGAAGTTCAACCCTTTGATTACTCAGTAATTTTATTCCCATTGTACATGCAAGGGAAGTTAACAAACAGCCCTTTTCAAAAATATAGTACCATGCACGTGCATAGAGTGTTTACATCTCAGTTTTAAGTAACACGGGCTTTGAGAGCTTACCAGAGATGACCCCTGCTGTCAAGGTGGCAGAAACTGGTGCCTGCCTCTTACTCACTTTGGCAAGAAAACTAAAGAGTAAACCATCGCGTGCCATGGCAAACAGAATTCGGGGCAAAGGGAACATAGAGCCGAGAAGACTAGAACAGAAAAATGTATAGTTCAAATACAGGTTATTAAAAGCACAGTGCTTTACTGGTAAACCCAACTACACAAAAAGAAAGCTTGGAAGAGTTAATGGGTTTAGGTATATAGTTTTGGTTTAGGCTCTCTGTTGCTGCTCTTGGTTTTTCGTTTTGTTCACTGATGTTCTTGGTTTTGGGTTGTTGTTTATTTTGAACCTAGGCTTTGAAAGCACTTGAGCTTAACCAACAAGTACAAAACCTGTAGTCGAGAAAAGTTTTTCTGGTAGCCTACTTTACCTGGCATCAAGCAGATTGGATCATTTCAGTCCAAAGCAAATCAAAGCTGCACAACAGTGGTTTATTTTCATATATGCAACGTGTTTAGCAGTGCACCTTTCTTTACAAGGATCAACTCTTAGTCTCACCTGCTACTGCACCAGACGATAGAGTAGCAACTAGTGGGGTCTTCGTTTTGGAACTGATTTGAGCTAGACATTTGAAAAGCAACCCATCCTTCGCCATAGCATAGATTACACGTGGCATTGGGAAAATGGATCCAAGAAGACTGAGTAAAAAGCAAACACATGCAACATGGCAAACACAGTTCATGCAGAGTTGTATCATGGACAAGATAAACAATGTTAATTAATGGCATGTATAGAAACATAATTGATGATTGTAAGACAAAACCAGAAAGCCCCATAGTCCAAGATACTACAGATCAGACACAAATAGAAATTTCTTTTTCCCTGCAAAGTTGATTGCTTGCTTTTTTTTTTTTTTTTTTTTTCATCAGAGAGAATTCAGATTATCAAAGTAACTCTTGCCATCACTGTAGTTCTTGGGTATTAGTGGACCAGAAACATGTTCCAGGTGACACTAACTATGCAATTAAGCTTTAGTATTCCTGGAGAAAGTCTGTCAGTCAGCAGCAGCAAATCAATAAGCATTAGCAGCATTTCTTACACTCTACATTTCCATGTGAGGCTGCTGATTAACAGTAATTCAAAGTAAGCATCATATGGTTATACTTGGGCACATTATTTCTTTTGAATAAAGCACCTCTAGCCAAGCTTCATTAAGATTGTTTCTTTTTTTTTTTTAAAGAAATAAAGCTAATTAATTTAGATTTGTTATTAGCAGAACACAGAAAGGTTTTAGACTGTTGATAACTCAAAGCTCTTTTTAAACATACTTCTTAAATTAGGTGGTTTCTTTCCCTCAAAGCAAAATAATTGTAATCAAGAAAACCATAAAACGTTGAAAAAAGGCAAAATCATAGCGAGTATAACCTCTGCAGCAAGCACACTAGTTTTTAACCAGATGAATGGTTGCCTTTCTTACTTTAGAAATCAACTATATCACTTACAGAAGGCACAGCTTTTACATGCCACAGATGCAAAGTACCTCCAGTAATGCTTATGAGACACAAATGTTACGGTTAGACACATGAGAGAAGTTTCACTGCACATGAACTGACTTTGATGTATGAATGTCCCTTCCAAAAAAGAATGTTTCCTGAATCAGGGTGACAATTGATTTTTCAGATAAGGATACTGTTAAAATCCACTGCCAATTTTTTTGCTGTTGTGGCTTTTTAAAATGTATTTATCCTACCCCTCTAAGTACATTCATATAAATAACAGAAATATTAACAAACATCTTTACCCTGAGGAAACAAGTTCACAACTAACATAATAAGAGGTAACTATATGGACCAAAAGCAATGAACCCCACTTTTTTTCTTACTTACACCTCTAAAATGAAGAATATGAAATACAATTTTCTTTATCTTGTTCTAAACTGGCATCAGGCAACAGACTGAAAGATGAACCTCTCTATATGAGTAAATATAATTCTTCACAATACACTGGAAAAAGAGACCAACAGTTCAAATTTCTGAAAAAGCATTTTACTGCCTGAGTTCATTTAGTTTTCCAGTATTAATTTCTTTTATCTAGTTCCTGCTTATATATCACTTTTACTATTTATCAATATAGAGGAAAAATTCAACAAAACCCTCCAAACTGAGGAGACCATGACAACTAGAGAGAAAATAACTATAATCCCAGAATGAACTGTGTAACTATGACATTCTTTGGTCAGCCCTATAATTCTTTTAATGTCATCCTGGAACTAATTCCCTTTTCTGAACCCCTCCTACATCAAAATATTACTTTCCTTTAAACCATTGTCCACAGTCAGCACGCTCATCTTCTTCAGGCTAGTGCTTACAGGGTTATCTTAAACTGCTGTTAGCCTAAGGGCTTCACAAAGCAAGTGCTTTTCCTTTGTGTAAAGGCAGCCAGTACTCTTACCACTGAAGCTCACTTAAATGATTCCTTACCTACATAAGCTCAGGCAGAAGATTGTCATCGGCATTTTTCTATCTCTAAATTCAAGTACCAAAGCAATTTTCTATTCTATGAAAGTGTTTATACTGCATTACAATTGGTGTGTAATATATATGAACACATACTAATATAACTCATGCCCTCCCTGATCTTTTTAATCAAAATAACACATTAAGGTTACATCCACAGTTTCACAAAGCAGAATAAATTACAATATTTTCACAGCTATAATCTACATCTCAAATACCCACACAGAAACCACAGGAAGGGATGATGTCAGAAGACAGACTGGCTACTTGAGGAAAACAGAGACAGGCAACGAAGATGAGGAGTGGAGCTTAGTTAATCATCTCTTCAATTTTGCCTGCAAATACACAGAGCCCATAAAGCTGCTGAGTCATTGGGAGTGGACAGCAAGAAAGGACAAAATGGGTGAGGTTTATTTTATCAGTTAATGAAGATAACTTGCAGGTCATATGTCTGAAAATACATATTTTAATAAAAAACCTTTTGGGTAATAAGCCAAAGAGGTGGAGTCCGATAACAGTACAGCTCAAAAGAAGAACTTAAATTAATGCACCTACTGTGATCGAGACCTGCTTAAGTCCAAAACATGCTATAATTCTTATTGCTAATTCTTTGTGTGAACTGAGCCTTCAAAATGAACGCATGAACATATATTTAAATGTCATATATTATCCATAATTTTTCCTAATAAAATCAATATTTCAATGTCTTTACCTTGTAGACAAAGCACAGAGGGATCCCACAGCTACAACATATTTCGCAGGACCCCATCCAACATATTCAAATGCTACTGGTAGAGGACTTTTCTCATCTAGTAGGTAGTATGGCATCATAAGTGTCAGTGCAGCTGAAACCCCAAAATAGGCCATGAAGCAGACAAGCAAGGACACCACAATTCCTATGGGTATGGCTTTCTGAGGATTCTTGACCTCTTCTCCTGAAAAAAAGAAAAAAGTGCCCCACAAAGAATTCTTATTCATTTCCATCTTCAGCTTTAAAAGATAACATCAAAGACAAATACTTTGTTACTCTAAGCCATGGGAATCATATTTGTAATAGAAGTTTTAAAAATCTGTGTAAAATAATCTTAGTGACGCAGAACAAAAGTCAGTATTTTGTTGACAGAAATAACATTAAAAATAGAGGTAAACTAAAGGACATAAAATACATTCTATATTTAAAGTACTCAGAGCCCATCATTTCTAGCTATTTACCTAAGATTTCTAAGTTCAATATAACTCATACTCTATCAGCCATATACAAGCCAGCCTTTAGGAGACATACCTCATTTCAGAGAACTGTAAAAGTGAGCAGGCAATTAACATGATTTGAGCAGAAAAAGTTGTATACTAAACATTTCCCAGACTTAGAAAGCTACAATTAGTTTCTTTAGAACAGGAATAAAGTAAGTAAAATTTCCCCCTTCCTTCACAGAATGATAGCCACGTTCAGGAATGAACTCAGACTCATTCTACATGGTCTGAAGGAGAAAGCAAAGGAAGAACATTAAACAGATTGTTATGTTGTTTGTGTGGGTTATTTAAAAAAAAAAAAAAAAAAAGCATGTTTTATATATATACTTATACATATAGACACACGCATACAAATACTGTACCAGTTGTTGCAATGCAGTCAAATCCCACAAAAGCATAAAAACAAGTTGCAGCACCAGCCAATGTTCCTGTGAAACCATACGGCATAAAGCCACCACTCCCATATATACTTGTCACATTCTCATAGGATGAGCAGTTCCTATAAAGAACAAAAACACAGCAGAAAAATAACTTTAAAAAATTACTATTATTGGTAGGACAAACACATGCATCCTCCTCCCCTATCACTCTGGGAAAACATGTTAAAATGCTCTCGTCAAGACAGTTCCACTTCACAAAACTGCACGAGAAGACATTTTTATGTCAAAGCTTGTAAGAAAGACAAACATAACAGTAGATGAAAGAATACCTAAATCAAGTAACTATCATCTTACTTTGCAGTTTGTGGGAAAACATACTAAAACACTAATGGTGTAGGCAGCTCTTGCTGTCATACTCACATACTGCATTGTATGAGCCTGGCTTAAGGACAAGAAGCCAGTAACCTCTCAAACAGCTATGGACAACAGTATTGAAATAAGATGATTTTTTAAAGGAAACTACAAACAAGAAAATAAACTATTTTTAAGGGAATAAAAAGTTTATCATTCCCAGAAACAGAGCTATTAGTTGATATATTAGCTGCAATACCACTAAAACAAATATAACAGAAAATTGCTTGGAATATGAGGAAGTAAACTGATTTTTTTTTTAAATTACTCTGTTACTGCAGTAAGGTTTATGAGATATTCTTCACTTATTTTCCAGTTGTCAGCATCTCCTTTCACAAAACCGGAAATCATAACGAAGAGTAGGACCAAGATGTTAATAGCAGTGAAAATTTTATTCACCCATGCAGATTCTTTTACTCCAAAAGATAAAAGACCTATAAAATAAAAATATTTTATAGTTGTGAATGGTCCCTTAAACTAATAAAATGGCATTTTAAAAAAGATATAAATGCAAGTACTGTGAATATACTAAGAAACAGCAGTAGATTTTGTACTTTTAAAAAGCAGTAGCACAAATTTACTTGACTCTTTGACAGCATGGCAATAGGCAAGTGTATTGGAAACCACAAAACAGAAAGATTCTTTAATTGTATTCTTTAAGTATTTAAAAGTATTTTGAGCAATTTTTACTGCTTTTCTGAGATTCCAATTCATATCCCTATTTTATGTGATGGAGCAAAAATCAGTACAAGAATTCTATGCTTAGTAAAAACAGAATCTCTTCCCTACAGAACAGTTACTTAGCAGATAAATAAAATAGGCAAAATTATTAGATTGATAATGTAATCTGTTCACTTTAAAGTTTTCAGGGCATATCCATCACAGAGGAAGAGTCCCATTTCCTAGCTCATTAGTAAAACCTTTAAAAGAAATGCACACCTCCTGTTCATAAACACTGATTCACAGAGATTCTAGAGAACAGTCTGATACAAAATACAGATGCCTTAGGTTGCAGAGTAGTGCATTTCAACAATCTGAAAGTTATTCTGTCAGGATCCTACTGTGTCATTAGTAAGTGTACTAACAGTTTAATGGAAGAACAGGCAGTGAGCAGATCAGGAAAAATGAAATACAATGGGAAAGCCATCACAGGTTCTTTGCACTCTTAAGTATTTCCACTAATAGCAACATACATGCTTTCCCTCATTATTTAGAGATTAAGTCTGAAAATTTTAAGCTTCTCAAGATAATGACTAAAAAATTTCCAACTCCACTAATGAGACGTTTGCTATCATATCATAACACAGAAGTTATTATATGAGCTGCTCAAGTTTTCTTCAGCAATAGCATTTCTACTGGTAATAGGTTATGCTTTCTTTAGTTCAGTTTTTTCCAAAGAAGGAGGTGTCCCAATCAGTCTAATGCTGCATGAAACACAGTATATAGATTTTAATAGATTTTATAGATTTTATAGATTTTAATATAATATATAATAATATAGATTTTATAGATTTTAAGTCCATTGTGTAGGATGAAAAATCCCCAAACCAGATTTCCGTATACTTTCCCTTGTGCTTAGCACATAGTATTTTCTGTAAAACATCATCTGCTACTCCTGTGATTCAGCTTTGCTCAGCTCAGAATCCAATTATGGTATCATGCTCAGTCTACACAGTGCTGAGCCATCCCCTCTTCTCAGCGGCGGTGAATTCCACCCAGTTCATTCAGTGGTGGTTTGGCTGCTTACCACAGAGACCTGGAGTCGTTATACCCATATAGCTTAGTTTCACTTTCCAGAGAAGAAATGCTCCTGCTTTTGTTTGGTCTAAAGAGATACTGAACATGGCAAATACTCGAGATATGGGTAAGACCTCTACGAAATACTGAATTGCTTCTAGGATCGGCTGAAAACAAACTATACATTTAGAATACACTTGCTGCTTCCTTCACTCCTGGTGGCAGGAAGAGTATTTCCTTGTGGGAAGCAATTGTTAAATGCAAATAAGTTGCAGTATTTTTGAGCTTTCTGGTCCCTCTAAAAGCATACAGTTGGTGTCAATTTTTGTGATTTAAAAACATGATACATGAGTAAAGACACAAAAGAAGCAGAACTGAGTGGAGTAGCCATGAAAATTTTACTCAGGTTTCAAAGTAGTCTGTTGGGCTATGCCAGTACCCTGGAGTACCCTTTAGTTCAAACAAGTTCTAGGCTTAAGAACTTTTTTGAAGACTTAAAAAGGGGAAAATTATTTTATGCTGAATAAGTTAACAATTTAGAGGTGGAAAAAAAGCCCTTACAAATGTGTGCTACCTGCACAATATATGATTTAAGGAGAGCACGTCACATCACCATACTACAGAGCTTAACCTCAAGGATCCTGTGAAGGCATTTACCAGTGATAAAGCCATAAAATCCACACAACTGTATAATTTTCCTGTTATCATCAATCTGTATCAGTTGTTTTATAAAAAAAAGTACTGACAAGCAATTATTTCATGTCTCAGCTTCAACAAAAGAGGGTACATTTGTTTATACACATTTAATTCCCAGAGTTATTGTGTCAGTACGCAAATGCACATCTGAACTTCTTAAATATTATTATTTCTGGTAAAGGACAATTTAACATTTTTGTCTGTAAGAAACACTGACATCACAACCACCATAAATGAAGCCATATGTTGTCTTACCTGATAAAAGTAATATAAGGAATACAGCAAAGAAGTCAGGATACTCTGCTAGCCCAGAGTAATTCATTTTGAAGTAGGTTCCGAAGAAATGACCAATCTGTTTTCCAAGAAGTTCATCAAAGGTGCCACTCCAGGCTCTTGCTACACTTGATGTACCTTCATAAAATACATGCATGTTTAGGGGTTTGCATACATACAATGGGATAGTTACTTCTACTGAAAAAGAATAAAACAAAGCATGTTGCTGCCTGCATTTAAAAGAGCAGAGCTTGTGCTAAAACAGTGATTTTGTTTTGCCAAGGAATTTTAAAGTTTTAGAATTTTTCTACATAGTTAAATAGTAAGATATTATTCTACAACTAAAATATACAAATTCATACCTGATTTATTCCCAAAATATTGCAGAAATTATTTCTGTGTCATTAATATCTGATGTCATTCTGGAAACACTTGTTTCTAAAGTTACCATATGGCATATGTCAAAATATACAAGCAATGTAAGAAAGCAGTTTAAGAAAGAACATGAAGGAAAGTTTGTCTACCTGGAAATAAAGTGAAAAATCACTAGCAAGATGTATATTGATAGAGTTAGTATTTAAGATTAATACTGTCCTCTGGTAAAGAGGGCATGTGGGCACAGCTAAATACAAGCTTATTTTTACAACTGTCCTATCATGAAAGACACTTTGTAGTGCAATAGTCAGGCATATTGATTTTGTAGTGATTTTGACAACAGTCCTGTAGTTAGGTATACATATACAGCTAGGTGTACTTATACATAATATAATGGATGCTTGGAGCGTGTACCTCTGGAAAAAAATATTTTTGAAACAAAAAATGTTTCTGCTAAAGCACTGAAGTTATTTGAATATCTGTCATATAAGCATTGATTTTATTCAGATCTGGTCAGTTTTGTATTTTATGGAATTACCCTTAAAATAAGGACACTACTTAATTATCATAAGGCTATAGTAACAAATCAGTACTTAAACATCATGACTTTCTTGAAGGGAGATACTATGGCAATGGGATCCCTGTAAATGTCCTTGTTGTGTATATTCAGAAAAGAAGATGCTTATTGATTTTACTGAAATTATTCTTGCTGACCAAAGACAGCAATGTTTATTCTTGTGCATCATCACTGAACTGTCTGATACAAATTTCATACAAGGTATGCGATTTACACAGCTGAAGACACACTATTTACAAAAGCATCTCACAAAAAACCTGTTTGCAATGGGGTTGCACAGGAGGAAGTAACCTAATCAAATTACTTTAGTTATTTCATCTCAGCAGGAGTAAAAAGCAATAAAGGCAGAAAAGAAAGACAGACCCATGTCTGTATCTTGTATCTGCTGTCTGAGAAACCCTTGAGAGCTGTGCTTGTTCTTAAGCTTACCTATAACGTAAGATAAAATGAGATTCCAACCAGTGATAAAAGCCCACAGTTCACCGACAGTTACATAAGTATACAAATAGGCAGAACCAGTCTTGGGTACACGAGCGCCAAACTCGGCGTAGCAGAGACCTGCCATCACAGATGCCAGTGCAGCAATGAGGAAAGAAACAACGATGCTAGGTCCAGAATCAGATTTGGCTACTTCTCCAGCAAGGACATAAACACCAGCACCAAGGGTACTGCCTACTCCCAGGGCTATAAGGTCCAGAGTTGATAAGCATCGACACAACTTGGAGTCCTCAAGGCTTTCACCACTGACATCCTTCTTCCGCACCAGACACCGAATAAAGGACAAAGCTGGTCCACAGGGCAACATGGCGGATGTAGAGCTCTGAAATAAAAGAAATCATTACAGTACACAAAAAGCAGCATAGACAACTGGTGAAAAACAATGAAAAAATGTATTTGCATAAAGAACTTTAATCACACCTACTAATTAATATATTTACACTCCTCTGTGACATTATATAAATTGGCATGTACTTTTTCTCAGGAAACAAACTAGAGACTGAATATTACTAATTTTATACTGAGCACTTATTTCCCCAGGAAACACATTAGAGATTGAGTATTCCTAATTTTATATTTAGCAGTTATTTCCCCAGGGAAAGATATACATTATCTCTAGGTTTACTACACTGCTGTAAAAAAGAAAATGTTTCTATTTATCTGCTAATGGCCACTTCTTAACCATTTCTAAAAGAGAGCCGGAACAGAGTTGTCTATTATCTCATATATAAGGACTTTTAAGATAAAGATCAACACCAACATAAAAAGGGGTTTTTAAGATCTTAAACTCCAACACTAAGGCTATAAACAGCAAACGCTTTAAAGTACAAGCATTCCAACAGAACCAATGCAATATCCTTTTGCCTTCAAATACATGGCTTCTGCCTTTAGACATTTCTTCAGTAAAAAATGCTTGAAAGTTGATTAAAAGAGTCTTTCTACGCCCTCCCATAGCAGTGAAGTTTCCCAGAACTAATCATCTTTACAGGAAATCTCATATACTCTCCCTGACAACCATCTAACAAAACCTGATGGGATAACTTCTCCATGCCAACTCCCGTTCTTCAATATTTGGAGTGCACACCATCGCAGTGTGGGGTGCGATCATGTCTTGCACACAAGCTCAGTTCTTGTGACCAGCTAGGTCCTGGAGGCCAGCAGGTGGGCAGCACTTCTCTGGCCTGTGATATGGGTGCCTGCTAGGAGGAACAGCCTGCTTCCCAACTCAAAAAAAATATACCTGAGGATCCAAAGCATTTGCCTGGAAGGCAGGACACAGACTTCCCATAGAAAATAGTTATCTCAAAGAGGCAGCATTAGTGTACAAGTTCTGTCTTTCTTTGTGTATTTGTTTGAATTGTATTGTTGATGACTCAGAGTTTGGTAAGAATTGAGCGACACTATCTGCCATGTCTCAAAACTGATGTTTGCCTTTGCAACTCGTACCATAAATATCTCTACTTTGCTTATAATTAGTTAAGTGGAACCCTTCTGGGAACTGAGAATCTTTTTCACTTAGATGAAGATATTCTGCTGGCAGATGCCTCCCCCATCTGTATCAGTTTCCTAGACCAGTAAAGGGCATTTCTACTCACAGTAGTTCAATCCACTAAACCCAATGACTTTGCATCAAGATGGATAGCTCACTTAACAGTGTCTGATCCTAGAACAAAGAGTCAGAAGCAAGAGTGCTTCCATCCTGTTACAGGATTACTTGAAAAAAAATCCCCTTGGGTATGAAAAAGAAAGAGAGAGATCTCTGTGCAGAAACATTTTCTCCCTATTGCTGCAATATCTCCGCAAGTACACTCAGACATGCCAGTTCTGCCTTAAAAGAGCATTCTTAAAAAAAAAAAAAAAAAAAGTCTCCATTCCTATTCAAGGAAAAGGAAGTTGATACAGCACAGTAAATGAAACTGAATAGCTCTGGGCAGTGATGCTTAATGCCCATTAGAAAGCTGATAGCTGCCCCAGGACCGTGGAAGGAGGCAAGACAGGCAAGTTTCCAAAGCTCTACTGCAATAGGCAGTCTTCGGCCTGCCGGACTCATTTGCACATGGTATGTAGACTTTATCCACTGAGGACATGTCATACATCAGCTTCAGAACTAAGATAATGTGCATGTCGTCAGACAGAAGATATCCATAAGCTCTTCTGAGAGGAATCAACATTGAACTGTTCAGGCAAAATACCCTCCTGTAGCTCCTAAACCCTTCAGTAAGAGCAGACCTTCTCTGGGCCTGAAGCTGAAGTACTCCATTCCCCCAAAGTCAGGTTTGTCAATTATGGGCTGTACTTTTATAGGTATTCCCAAAGCCACTATGGTATTTTCCATAATGACAGCTCTGAAGCTGTAGCAATCACTTAAGATAATATATTAATATACTTATTAGGCTGTAGTTCATGGCGACAGACATCAATGCTCTCATGACTCCATGCCCTTCACTTTAGGAATTTCAACATTGCAGAAACATGGCATTTTTTAAAGGAATTATCTCCCTCACCCCCCCCAGTTATAGTTCATTTGGTGTTTCATTAACAGGAAGAACTACTCTGGCAGAACACTAACAGTTTCCAAGACTTTTGTTACTCAAACATTATCTCAGATTGCTCTGCTCCCTTGCAATTTGATACAAGAAGTCCTGAAGGTTGTAAAGTCATCTATTGCAGTGGTCAGGTGGGTGGTATTACCGTTTTCTCTGCTGAGAAGGAATCCTTGTGACAAAATAGGGGTTTTTTTCTGCTTCTATTTTCTCCAATTCCTGTGGAAAGGACAGGAGACTGGTTCTTGCAAGCCACAAGCCAGTAAGATAAGATACCTGTTCTGACTCAAACCCATCCTTTCTTCTGCAGCCTTTATAAACTGGAGCACAACCAAAGACAAAATTCAAGATACAAACTTTGTGTCTGTAGAGGAAAAAAAATCTCATATGCATGAGAAATGTATCTTTTTAGGTATATCCATCCTAACATGGACTTGATGAATGCACATCCTTTTACGACAACCACAGCAATCCAGAATGTCTTACACTGTTTCCTATACTTACTGTGCACATATGCATAATAAACAATGTCTGAACATTGCTTCTGTTGCTGTGTATCAAGTGTGGTGTTGTACCTCACACATGGCCACCTTACAGCTTTGGCTGAGACATCCCAAGACTCCAGTATTTATCACTTCATACTTGATAGGAAGGTGCAGCAGGAAGAACTGATGAGCTCACGAGGATATCTGACCCATACAGAGGACCAAATGACATAGGTAAGTGGTGACAAAGTGTCTTCAGAAATCACTGAGAAGTGTAACCTTTTTCTGGGGTGTCCCTTGTAAGACAGATCCTGTAGTGCCTTGCCCACCGCAAGGGAACAACCTGGGCTCTGACTGATGTGTGCTGACTCACAAGCACGTCATTACACTGTGGCTGAACATGTTTCACGCTCAACTACTTACGTACAGAAGCAAAGAAGGTAACAGCTCATGTGTGCCTTTTGGTGGCAGCATTGTCCTAAATAAACTTACACTGACTGCAACCACACAAGCTAAAAAGGGTCTTAATCCTGTGCTGGCATAATTGGGCAAATCTCCCTGTTTCCTTTTTTTTGTTGATCTTTAGGACAGAGAGAAACATGAAGTAGGGTAAGTGAACACAGAAAAAAAATGCTCCCTCCTACTTTTTGGCCAGCAAGTTTCAGTATTTTCCTAATTGCTCCTTTTTTACTGCCTCCTTTCCCACTGCAATCTACGCCTGCCTTGAACTAGCAGACCATTGTGGCCTGTTTCCTCTGCTGAACATCCTGCACAGCCCTGGCTCTTCTCTGCGCCTTCCTGGGGAGGCACACTTGACAGCATGGGAAATGGGGGTTTTGGTAATATATTGGGTAATCAATCGAGAAGGAAGTAAACTCTCTTAATTCTCTGCTGCTGACAGAGCTCAGAGAGCTTCTGAGGCATCTCTGAGGCACCTGTCCTATGTTTCTTAGAGCAGACTTGGATACCTGCCTGCCTTTGAACAACAGCATTAGGCATGTAGCCCAAAAGTGCAACCAGTCAGGGCTGAGTTGTTCATGCAGTTTAAACAAAATAAAGATTGAATCCTGAGCTTATAGAGTGTTTAAGCCCAGGAAACCAAAAAGTAAAATGCACTCACCAACAAAGTAATTAAGGGGAGGAGCAGGCCCAAGGATGTTGCTTCTCCCATGCATTCAAACCTGTGCTACACTCCACTTTGGTGAATTCTGCTTTATTGAAACATCTGTCACAAGCAAACATCCATGAAGTCCACACTGACCTTGGCATGTTCCTTTTGCTGCACACAACTCTGGTGGCAGCTCTCTGGCTCTGCACATACTGAAGTGTCTTTTGGACTAAGTTTTTCTTTATCTACAGATTACTGTATAACACAGAATACGTCTCCAACAGTCCTCTAAAAAAGAGAGGCCCCAGTTCATCTACCTTGGATTTGAGAACCACTGTTCAGCTCATATTCAAGCCTCTTCCTTCCTTGAACACATTCCTAGAAAGAATCCCAATGCTGTCCACATGGCAGTTTACAGTTTTACACCTTCAACCACATGCAACAAAGAGACAAGCAGGACAGGACTTAATTTTGACAGGAAAGGAATTGGACAGATCTATCTAACATAGGGGGGGGAAAAACCCCCAAAGCTTCCTCATGTCTAATGAACATTCATGGTATTTGTCAGAGTACCTGAATATGCACAAATACGTCTCCAATCCCTTTTGTTCTTTATAGTCTCAGGGTTTTTTTCTCTACAGTAGCTGCTGATAGACCCTTCTTAAATTCAGTCTTTCCTGGCCACTTGTAAACCAGGTAATTTACTCCTTGACTACCACACATCTCAATGCTAACACAAGAAGATGAGTTCAGCCTTAAAATTCATACCAGCTCTTCCATTCAGATGGATGATCAAAGAACATTCAATGGTTGTCTATTGTTAGTCCTCTTCTAGCAGGAAAAATTTGGTGTCAAAAAATTTGTAACTACAAATGCAATGCAAGGGACAATGTCTCCATCTACAAAGCTTACATTAATCTTTAAAAATAGCTTTGACTACTTTACAGTCCTGTAAATCTACCATTTTTGCAAAGTATTTTCCATATAAAAATAAACTAACAGCCTACAACCCCAAAACAAAACTCAAACAATAGGTGGATATTGGAGCAAAAAAGTAACATATATCACCACACTCTTCCATTAAAATAATTTTAATTTAATTACGTGTAATAAGTGATTTAAATCAGTACACATCACACCCAAGCTACAGCTGGGAAAACCCAAAGTTTTTCTGCAGTTGCCATTC